GAAGGAGGAATGCAGAAGAAGGATGTTGCAGTACAAGGCACCACTTCTACATCACAGGCTACTCTTTTGGAGTAGGATACGTTTAATCTTCTTTCTTTAGTCTCCAAATATTTTTCTTATTTTTGAGTCTGGGATAATTTTACATTTTTAGCTTTATTTTTTTTACAAGATTGCATGTTCAAATGATAGTTGCCTTTGATTTCATAGCCTAAATAATTCTAAGGTTTTTGGCTATTCACCTAGTATATATGTTCTTGCTAGAACTAGAACCAATCCTTTTGGGACACAACTTGACTCACACACTAATTACATGAGGGGCATGATATAGGAAATTTATTCATATCTCACAAATAGCCACTTGTACCCTCTATATACACTACACACCCCATATAGCCAATGAAGACATTGTCAAAATTTCAAGTTTGGGGAAGGGTGATCCACTAAGGCCAAAACATCAAAGCAAAAGAGCAAGCTCTAAAAAGACGCCTTAGTTGGACATGGTTTAAAGCACAAAAAAAATGTCAGATAGGGGCAATGTGCATGCTTACAACAAAAGAACACAAAGTGCCAAAAATTCAAAAAAAAAATTCAATGTTGAAGCATAAGAAAAAGGCAGTGTGAGATAAAGAAAAAGTCAAAGAGACTAAACCCATAAAAGTCCTATTGACCCTAAATAAGAGGTGTTGAGTTTAACAAAGAAAAGATTGGTGCTAGCAGATGGTTCATACATAAAAACTAGGCTATGAATGGTTTACTAAGGATTTATGAAAGGCTATATGCGTGCACTTAATGCCATAATCTTGTATACCTTTGCATTATTGAGTCATTTTAGTTGTTTTTTGGTTGCTTGGGGACAAGCAACACTTTAAGTTTGGGGTTGTGATATGCATTGATTATTCAATGCATCAAGATTCATTTATTTACTTATTTGGTAGTTTATTTTCTTTTATCCCAACCTTGAGTCCTTTTTATTACATTATTTTTCATTTGTTTCTTCTTGGAGCTAAATTAAGTGATTAGCTTGTCTTTGCACCATTAGAGTAGAAAAATCTTAACTTGAAAACATAATGTTCTATGCTGCAACATTGAACTGTCATGAAACGACTTTTGGGAAGAGCTTAAGGATTCAACTGTCGATTAAGGAGTAAGACAAACTTTTGTTAATCCGATGGATAAAGACCTCTATAGCTTGGATGAAGGATTTTGGAGGTTACTTTTGTTTTGATGTGATGTTACCTTTTTCTCTTTTAAGTCTTTTGTCTCCCTTTTTGAATCCATGGCTTTTCCAAGACTGTTGTCTTCTTCCTTGGTATTTTTGTATAAATAGGACCTCATGGTAGCTCATAAATCCATCCCAAAAACACTGAAGAATCAGATCTATAGTTCATATGTTTATGCAAGTTAGTTTTTAATTTTCTTTAAATAGTGTTCTTCATTATGAGTTGCTGCAACATTGTCTTTACTTTATTTACTTTTCTTGTAATTTAATTTCCGTTCTTTACTTTCAGTCATTTACTTTCCGTCATTTATATTCATGTCTTTACTTTCTATTCTTTATATTACTTGTAATTTAATTTTCGTAATGAGTAGCTAATTCCATTAGCTTGGGTGTAAGGCAAAGGGTGAAATGTTAAACCGAAGAAAAGTGGACGTTGTTTCGCAATAACAATGTTCCATTATTTCATTCAAAAACCAATGACACTTCTTGACGAGTTGATCACTTTGAACGTGTTAAAGTGCCATGGTGTTAGAGATAAGTCATTTAATGCACGTCAACTGAATGATATGAGAGGTAGACTTGAGAAAGTTACCGACAATGAGACTTGTCATTTATGTCTTTCAAATAAATTAATTCTCGACAGGTTGGTCGCTTGTTAACAGTGTTAAAGTGTGGTAGATTCAGAGATGAACTACCTAGAACACACGCCAATTTGAATAATATGGGAATCGGCTCGATAAAGTGATTTTTAACAAAGAGATTTGTTTATCCATATATTTTGAAGACACCATTTTGTTACTATCCCTGGTCCGGATACCACATAAAGATATGGGTTGAAAGGTATAATATAGTGCAATTGTGAAGTCCGAGAGGAATACCTTCAAAATAGAGGGTGGAAGTAGTTATAGCTTACTGCATAGTTATAGCTTACTGCATGCTGTAGCATCCCTACAACATTGTCTACTGGAATTTGTGTTTACATTTCACCATAAGTCTTACACCTATGCCACCCCTTTATATTCTGTTATTTTATCATTGTTAACTCAGAATCCAACTGAAGTCTTCAATTTCATCATCTGAAATCATCTCTTTCATTAGACTCTTATTAAGTCTTTGCTACAATCTTCGTGGATGATATTCGGTTCTTATCACTTTATTACTTGGAAAAGACGACATTGGACCATATTGTATACTTGCTTTGTGGTTTCTTTTATAAATCTAAGGGTGTGAAAAATAACCTACCACTTTCCTACCAAGCAAAATGGGCAATTTGTTTTTCTTGTCCTAGTATGTTTACTAGAGGTTTTGTTACCTTTGTCCATACCACCACAATCACATTGTAATACAACTTTAGATGGGTCCCCACATGAGTCACTTTTACTTCTTTCGATAACAATAACGAAACCAAGTGCCCAATCAATTAGATCTTGACGAGAATTAAAGACCTGAAATTGATTTTTTTAAAGTTACAACTACTAGTTTTACCATATAATTAACAAAAATAAATGAAACTTAAAGACCATATCAGTAGAAAATGCAGATGGTTGAGGGTTTCTATAAACTCCAGTTGATTTGTTTGGATGCACATTGCCATCTTCTCCCTAATTCAATATTTTATAAGTTTTATACCGGTAGAATGGATGTCACGTTCCAAATAGTAAACGTGAATAGTAACATGAATAGTGACATGAACAGTGAGAAGAATATTATTATCGAGATTTTATTATAACACTATCATTTAAACGTATTCCGATAATATTAATTGTTGACATTTGGTTTTGTGTGTGTATTCAAACATTGAAAAAATATGATGAGTGATCTTACCTATTTTTTCTTTCTTATTCTTTAATGTTCTTCTTTGCTCCTATTCTTCTTTTTTTCTATCAATGTACACTCCCTGTAGAAGTTTGGAAGCCAACCCACATCTGTAAACTGTAAAACAAAATGAGAGTAATTAAATCAAGAAACATAGTGTCTAGGGTTGAGCCAGAAAGGTCTCTTAACGCCTTCTTGAAGATGGAGGAGGAGGAGGAGGAGGAGGAGGAGGAGAAAGAGAAAATGATATAAAGGATATTAGGGTTGGAAATGAAGTAAGGTGTGGATAATATATAAAGGATAATATATATATATATATATATATATATATTAATTTATAGATTAAAATGTTATGGAAAAAAGATATATAATATTTATTTAGAAATATTATCCATCCAAGGCATGAGAGATTTGAAATACTACTTATTGTAAAAATAATTACATTTTTGAAGTCACTATATTTTTAGATTGTTTTTTAATATAATATTATAATTATTGAAAACAATTTAAATTTAATCGATACTTGTATTTATATTATGTTCATAAAAAATCACTTTTAAATTGACATTTTAAAAAATATTTAAATAACTAGGATAAAATTCTAATGCTAATGAATATATAGGTGTAAGGCAAAGGGTGAAATGTTAAACCGAAGAAAAGTGGACGTTGTTTCGCAATAACAATGTTCCATTATTTCATTCAAAAACCAATGACACNTAACTTAAAATCATAATATTATACAATGGATAAATATATATATGTGTGTATGTGTATGTGTATGTGTATGTGTATGTGTATGTATATGTATATATAAAAAACAATAATAGTAATAATAAAATATAATATATTATTGTTTGAGTTTGACATTTGATGGAACTTAAAGTAAGTCCAATTTCCCAAGCATTCAACACCCTCTATTAGCGGTGCTATTAGCACTCCTCGATTCGAATTCAACACCATAGTTTTCTGTACCATCTTTTAAGAAAAAAAACAATTATGCTCTTATATTTTCATCCCATTACATCCCACCACGATAGATATCACTATCGCTGCTGTCGCCGTCACCACTAGCGTGTCTGTCCTTTTAAGGAGACCCAATGACATAGCTGTGATATGCTTTCATCACTTTCAAAAATGTCTGTCTTCTTTCAATTGACGAGTTCCATGAAGTTCTCCCATTCATCTACAAAACCAATATTACTATTCTCAGATAACCACATGAATACAAAGTTCAGGGAAGAAGTTGTATGTTCTAACGAGGTGCAGTTTAGATTGTCCGAATCTGGAAAACTCAAACACAAGCCTAAACGACAAGCAAACACATTGTTGATTGAAGTTCAAACTCTCTTCTCATGGTCTTCAATAGCACCTCCAGTTAGGCGCTGTTTGGTGGGTTTTCCATCAAGTCCTGTATGGATAACGCTGTCTATGTTAATTAATCTGTCTGTCTGTATAGATTGGGACGGTTTTTCATAGATGGAAGGAGCGTATTTTTTAATTGGGAGGGGTAGGTTTGGAAAAAACTTGGCTTTCTGCATAAAGCTCCCTCCTAGAAGCTTACTGAATAATCCACTACCAAACAATACGTATAGCTGAGCGAATAACCCATTTTTTCCAATTAAGCTCATTTAGCTGCTAACAAACAAACATTTATTAATCTTTCCTTTGAGCTTAAGAAAAATATACCTCCATATTGTAGGATGTTCTAAGTAATCAAGAACTAAATTTTTATTTCATATTTGAAAAGCATACAAATAGTCTCTCTAATCTATACACAATTGGGTTGGGTGTTTCTCAAAAGCCTAAGCAAGAGATGGAGAAAAAGAGTACATTTTGATCCTATCTTCTTGGCCAAAGTTGAAACACCAATAATTCAAAACCATATACTACTACTGATGGTAAACTGATCTACCCTCTCTCGATCTACTACTCGCTAGCTAGTAACAGTATACTACTGACTGACTGACTACTTGTTTTTCTTGCCGCCGGCTAGAATTCGTTGGATCTGCAGCCCTCGGCTGAACGCTTGGTTGAAAAGAAGCCTAGTTTGGAAATCAGACACCATCGGGAACCATGCAAGTATGGCTACTGGAGCGAAGATCATGACCCCCATCATATATTCGTACCCTCTCCCCAACGCTTTCACCGACCCCCACATTCCCAACCCCTTCACCACTGGCCTGCATGCTTGTCCTATCTGCCAATTTTCTAATATTAATGACTGAATCCTAACAGACAGTTGGATGTATAAGAAAAATGAGATGATTGAGTTGAGTTGAGTTGAATATTGGGATACCTGCAAGATTGCCCATCCAGTTGGCATGAATGCGAGTAAGCTTGCGAAAATGTCTCCAACGGTAAGTCCCAGGAATTGGAAGAGAACGACAAGTGTCCCCACCAATCCAACAAACAGGAAAAACTTTAGCAGTCGGAACATCAGCTGGAAATCAGCACTGAACTTCTTCCTACCCATCGATATGATCTGCATATTTACCAAAATATTTAAAATCACTAATTGCCTCCTATAATTGATGTGTAGTAAAAAGGAACCAACCACTACGCCAAGTGATGGGACTTGCACACCTTCAAGATGACTATAACCGCAAGAATTACAAGCCAAGATAGACCATAGATCTGCATTAATGTTTCTTTTTCGTTAAACAAGTTTGTTTTGAGGGAAGAAGCTATCTCTGTTAAACAAGTTGTACTTACCATGATGCTTTTATCGCTTTGGCTCACTTTAAGCTGATAAACAATTCCATATTGGTAGATGAAGAATCTGAGAGAGAGAAGTACTTCCATTAGCCGTCCAATGAGACCCGTGTACTGGAGGTGTTCTTGTTCCTCCTCCCACCATGACTCCCAGCTCTTGTTAGCGGGAACACCAATGCCACCACGTTTACTGATCCACGTTGACCAATCTTCCCAGTCCTCCACTATCTTCTGCCACTCAAATCCCGAAGGATTGAAAAGGAAAGGAGCAAACAACCAAGAAACCACTAGAAACCACATCGATAAGGTTAACATGAAGAAATCCGAGCCACTCGCTGCTGCAGACCCATATGCCTGATAAATCACAAGCAAAATGAACAACTCCATTGCTTTCGTAAAATGGCTCCTCGAGTACATTCTGTAGTTTTCCGCAAACTTCTCATGTCTCACCACGAACCCACGTCCAGTGGCTCGGTACTTGGCCCCACCATGCAAAATCGTGCGCCCAAAATAGTGAAGCTTTGTCCCAAGGGAGAATGTAAAGAAGACAGCTGCTAGTTGGAGCTGCATAATGATCATGTCACCCATTGCGGTTCTGAATCCTCTCTCTAGTCCAATCTCCATCACCATCGGCAATGCCATCAAAAGACCCATTTGAACTAAGGACTGAGAAGCCATGACCGCTTTCAGAGCAGCATCTCCCCTTATCCTTGCTGATTTCATGATTGCACTCTCTAATCCACTCAAAGAGAGATATAGTCTTCCATACAAGTATGCATACACTGTAAGGACCACCAGCTGGATGGTATCAACAGAAATTCTGTGTCAGCTAGGACGAAAAATGGCAAGTAGATAGACATGTGAAAAGCTGTTAACCGAAAATACAGCTGCCTCTTGTTAGATATTAAGCTTTTGATGATATAAACAAATTGGAGAACTTCTACGTTATAGAACAACTATATTTAGCTTCGTATTCAGTAATTAATCTAGAATACAAATTCAAACTAGAATATGTCCTTAAACTATGTATTTATGGTAACTGTCTAACTTTTTTTGTAGTTATCCAACTCACATATGTGTATTCATGGTAATTGTTAAGACCCTTTTCTTCTTAGACATCGAACTAGAGAGAGGTTCATGGGAAACCCCAGAAAAATGAAAAACGGAGGAACACACTGGTAACCATTCATTTGGACGGTATGCACATCTGTATACAAGTAATTAAAGTTGTTCCTTGGTTTTTATGCACATGTGCGTACCGGACAAATTGCTTACAAATTACTTGTATGCACATGCCGTTAAAATGAACGATTATCAGGGTGTTCCTCAGTTTTTCATTTTTTTGCAGTTTCCCCTTAACGTGACCCTATCGAACTAGTGGTTAAACTAAATGAGAACCACAGATTTGTTACAAACCCATGAGAACTGATATAAAAATACCTTTTTACATAATATATTTTCATCAAATTCTAGGATTTAAGATATTGCTTCACATATATTTGTTTCATAATATGATAGTTTCATATGTATTTGTTTCACCATGTGAATAATATTTACATGTATTATTCAATTCACTAGGTGAACGAATTTTTCTTTTTCACATGTAATCTTTTCACAAGGCAAACACAAACATATGTGAAACAATATCTTAAATCATAGGTTTTGATGAAAAAGAATCATGTAAAAAAATATTTTTATATTGGTTCTCACGGTTTTGTAACATATTTATGGTTCTCATTTGATTATCGCCCTATTGAACTAATATGATATATGTATATCTAAACAGTTGCTATTTAATGGTTTTTTTTATTAAACTACCAAAGCACATCATATAATCATCAAACTACGTCATGCTTTATAGTTCTTAGGTGATATAAGTTACTAAATAGTTCTTAGTCATAGAACAGGAAGATAATACAGAAAATTCACAAAATAATTCATTTATATATTTTCCTATTGTATCACTTGGTACCAGCAGATTGGTTATAGAAGGTGATGACTGATGAATGATGTTATAACTACTTAGTATCTTGTAAAACTTACCATAGAGCTGAAATAGAAGCCAGTAGTCGTATAGTAACATGATAACATTCGGAAAAAATCAAAGCGGTGGCCTAATCTGTAGATATCCCGACTTAGAGTCTGCTCCCCATTACCACATGCAACTTTAGCTTCGAAAAGTGAGATTTGGTTGAGGCCAACATCTCTTCCCTTCCCAACTTGTATGTATTCATGGTGAGTTATATTACCACGTCTCAACGTCGAGTTGAACCCTACATGACAATAAATCACGATAAGTTGTCTAATATCAGATGAGCAAATTTCATCAAAGAGAGTATGCACACCAGGAATTTACCTGCAAAGATGTCTTCGCTCAGGTTAATGCCTTTTGAAGCTTTGCTGATGCCACCTCGCGTTATGTGGAAAATCCTATCGAAAACATCAGGATGCCCATAGTGGAAGCGAACCCTGAATCCGATGAATATGATGCATAACCAATTTAAAATAATAACTTTCCAAGTCTTGCATCAATATTAAATGAATTTGACCAACAAAAGCAGAAGTTGTGCTTCATGAAAGACCATATCAATAGATTATCTAGTGGCTTATTTAGTACTAGGTTATTTCAAAGAATTATTCTAAGCCCATCAGGCCAGTCACTGTATTGGATGTTCCCATGATTCTCGGTTTTAATACACTTTATTAGGAACCCAAATTTGTTTCATGGGTGTTTGCTTAATGATGTTCATTAGGATTGAGAGGCTTAATGGGTGTTTGCTTCTATTGTATTCAGGAGAAGTTGGCGTCCATCCAGATTGACTGATCCAATTGATGGGCCAATGCACTCTGTTTTCTTGGTCTGCACTGTTGATGATTCCCCTAGAGATATTCATTAAGCAACCTGTTAGTTGGACCAACTCTAGTTCCCTGATTGGACTTGCTCTCCCTGTTTGATGATTAAGCATCATTAATTGACCGTTTGGTTTACTGGTTTTCTCTTTGTTGTTCATAGTTATTTGTAAAAGTATATAACACCTTTTCATACATTACAAGACCACATATATGTCATATTATATACACTGTGTTTAGCACTTAGGGCTGGTTGGTTAGTTTTTCATCAAGTCCTGTATGGATAAAGCTGTCTGCTGCGTGGATTAATCTGTCTATATAGATTGGAAAGCTTTTTGTTTGGAGGGTTTATACATAAATGGAAGAGTGGTTTTTAATTGGAGGGGACAGATTTGGAAAAAAAACTTGGCTTTTTGCATAAAGCTCCCCCTAGAAACTTACTAAATAAGCCACTTTCTATATCATTAAGCTACTACCAAACAGTTATATATAGCTGACCGAATAATCTGTGAGTTTCATTAAGCACATTAAGCTGCTAACAAACAAGCCCTTAGCTGATTTATGTGCCTTAACAAAAAATTCTTACCCAGTCATGTGCCACTTCCCCAATCAAAAGATAGGAGAGCATCCCTTCACCTGAAGTTAAGGGGTTTTCTTGGCATACTTTTAATTTGGTTTTTTTGATGGACTTTGCTTATGTTGTTGGAATGGGTTGGATACGTCTAGAATCTACTTGGATTTTGGTTTTCTTGGTCCACTGGGTTTCAGCTTTGCCTTTATTTTTCTTTCTCTTGCTTCAACTTTGCAGTTTCTTTTCTTGATTGTAGCTAATGCAAATGGACTTGTTGGTAATCTCACATTCCACTGTATTGTTTTATGCAGATGTGACAAGCGAAGGCACTTGTTCAAGCTTAGAGAAATAGATTTCTATTTTGAGGTTCTAAATTCCAATTTGTTGATTTGAAATTTGTCTTGTTTGCCAATTTGGGCACTATTGATATCTAGGCTCCAACTTGAGCTGAAGATAGAGATTATGGGATACAGTCACTAATATGAACAAAGAAATTGCATCTTCATAAGTAATATGTTTCTTTTTAGTGCAATTTAGAAGAGTGACATACTTGAGAGGCCTTGCAAGAACACGTTGACCGATGGTGACAAAGCTCGTTTCTTGATTTGACATGAACCAAGCCAAAGAAGAAACACTGCATCAAAAATATGATATCAAATACAAGTCTATATTCAAGGCCAAACAAATCTAAAGCCAATTTAAATATTGACCAAACCTTCCTGTAAAGATATGTTCACGGACACCCAAAATTGTTGGGGGTCTCACTCCATGATCCTCGTTAAATTCTTCAAGCAGATTACGCATTTTGAAAGCTTCTTCCAAATAGTTGTCCTACAACATGAAACATAAAACAATGCATAATTTTTATTATTATTGAATGGTCAACAATAACTAATACGAACCCATAGGGGTATACCTGGTTCATGTCAATAGTCTGAAGAGCTTCCCCTCTGGTAAATACTATGGCGTGGTTTTGATTCTCAGGCTTACCTTCTCCAATTTTTGCTGAGCCAGGTAATTTTATCCTGTAAATTTCCTTCAAGAAGAATAAGGATGCACTCAGCAGCCTGTATCATGTTTCTTGCAGAGTGATTGAATGAAAATCATGAATATTGGGCACAAACTAAAAGGTCAACTACCTGATCAAGATTATCTGCAGCTTTAACCAACACAGAATAATAGACCTTCTGCGATTTTCCACCTTCTCTTTCTTCAACTTCATCAATATATGCCACACGAAGAGATGGATTGCTGTACATGAGAATTATGAAGAAAGGAGTCATTATTTATCACAATGACATGTGAAAAAGAATCTCTACTTTTACCCATCAAAAACTTACTTAACCATCAAATTCAAAATGTCTGTTGCACGACGGTCACCACTACGCTTCTGGTTTCCATAATTTTGGCATGTGGCTACATAAGTAAATTTCATGTCAGCAACAGCCTCTAGTTGAGCATACAAGGATCTCTGGCTTCTCTTCTCATCCTCTGATGGAATGGTGACAGCTTTATAGCCTTCCAATATTTCTGCTCAGTTTGCAAACAAAGAGTTAGGGCCAGAATATTACCTTCAAAAAGTCAGTTGTCTAAGATTCTTTAGCTCCAAAGGTTAATCATAAGTTCTATATGCTTTCCTCAACCTTAGAATCTACCTTCGGATAACATCAATAGTAAGTTGAATCAAATGGAAAGAGACCTTGGCCACATCTGGCAAGAGTTCAAGATTTTCACCAACATGTTTTCAGCCATAGCTCATAAGGTGACAGAATTACTTAAAATATCTTTCTAGCCAAAATAACATTTTAGTCTAATAAACAATTTCCAAACGAAAAGAAAGCACACTATTTTGGCAAGGAATTTCCAAGTTCAGATCATACTTAATTCACAGCCATCTTAGAGACATGTTTGTAATAAAAAAGAAAAAAAATTCTGTTTGATGATTTCAGTTCTTATAGTTACATATTTGAGTAGAAATAGAACAAACATGAATTTCTATGGGACAACATACAGATAATCTCAAATGTATCTCCTCATTGATGCTGATTTCCCAGAAAGTCTAGAAAATGATCTTAGGGGGCGTTTGGTTTGATGGAATAGTTTTGAGGGATTTGGATTTCGTGGAAGGATTTGGAATTGGAGGGATTTGGAAGAATTTCGAATCTTTGGTGTGTTTTCTTTGTAGAATTTAGAATGGAATTGAAGGTCATTCTTTATAAATAATTTATAAAAACAAATTATAAATAATTATAATAATCACATTACCTTTTTATTAATTGATTATTATAAAACAAATGGTTTCAACAAATTTTAAAACATTATTACACACAAATCCTACAAAATCCTGTGAAATACCAACAACCCCCATGGGATTTCTAAATCCCATGTTTGTGGAAATCCAAGCAATCCTTCAAACCAAACATGGCATTGGAATGGAATTGAATTCCAAATCCCTACAATCCTATCCAATCATACAAACCAAATGGGACATTAGAGCATGAACTTATAGACGCTTCCACGATTTCATCATCAAGATCTACAAGAGGATGCCCACCCTATCGTATAATAATAATATCAAGTAGTTTATTCGAGGGGAAAAAATTGCATACATGCACAAAGCTTTAGCTTATGTACCCAATAATAAACATTTGCTCTAACCTTTTTCAGTAGCCATGTCAAGAAACGCCTGAAGCTTCAATGCCCTTCTGTAGTACATCATCCCTCTAACTGGAAAGCTAAAATCCATTAGGACTGCAATATGGTAGGTGAATTTGAGAATATACTAATATGGAAGTACCTGTTCTGCACAGTGTCTGTCCTCTTAAGGAAACCCAATGACGGAGCTGTAATATGTTTTCATCGCTTTCAAAAATGTCTGAGTCTTCTTTGCAGTTGATGCGTTCCATGAAGTTCTCCCATTCATCTAACAAACCAATATTACCATTTCCCGATAACCACATAAATATAAGTTCATGGAAGAAGATGTATACATTAACAAGGCACAATTTAGATTATCAGAACCTGGGAAGATCTTTCGCAGGTAGAATTTGATTGATATACCATCTTCGTTTTCCATGTCAAGGTCACTCTTCGAATAGACCGTCTCTTCGCTATAGTAGGGGGTCATGACACTGCAATTCCAATTGATTACGACTATCATGCTGATGAATTAAAGTATTGTTGTGGATTCATTACTACCATTCACCGCAGTCTATTGTATGTCCATTAACAAATTACCACCCTAAAAAATGCAGCTGTAAATTAAGATTCATATGTTTTGGTTGGCCAGAGCACAAGGGTCCAAGTGCCATTCAGGTGCAAAGAAGCCCAGAGGTGAATGCGATGAGCAAAAACTCACTCACCAACCTAAGCGAAAAGCAGATACATTGTTGATTGAAATTCAAATTCTCTTCTCATGGTCTTAATTAGCAACTCCACTAACTAATTATGCAGTACATACAAACCAATCATTCTAATGCAGCAAAAATAATTCAACTATTGATTTCTCAGAATTTTCAATCTACATGGTCAGTATTCAGGAGAAGCCACATGCTAATTAAAACATGCCCAGCACAGAAGAATTCATATGTGCAGTCTCATATACATGACACATACAGTGAACAAGTTTGACCTACTCCTTGTTATCAGATGCATGAAGTATTGCTAAACATATTAGCTAGATGACAATTTGTTATACCTGAATGATAGCATTTTACGCACTCGAGGTGCACGTGGCATATCCATGAACAAGGAATTTGTGAAAAATGTGATCCTCCGCCGTGCTTCAAGGTTTTTAGGCACATCCATTGCGGATTCATTTACCGTGAGAAGAAGATAGAGGCGTTTTATCTGTAAGGATAACAATTCAATAATTACCATCTGTAACTGCAAACCAAGGATTAAAATACTGATGTTACTGTGGGTGTTTGTCCATGCACATTTTATACATAATACGTGTGATGGGAAGATACAGGTAACCTGTTCTTGCCACTGGGCAGTAACTGGAGGAGGAAATGCAATAGCAGGTTTTGAGTCTGTAGCTTTTTCGAAAAGCTGCGTTCCAGAATCCTTGCTACCATGTCCTAGTTCTACCAATTCACTAAAACAAACATGTATGAAGTCATTATTCTGTTTGTAAAATGTCAGAAAAAAGCTATTGGAAATATTTCATAGAATGCTCAAATCACAAACCGGATTTCATTGACCATCATGTCACGGGTAACTACTTCTAACATGTCTTGAAGCAACAAAACCACAGTATTGTGCTTAGATTCATCAGCCTCTTTCTGCAATATGGAAAGATTTAACATGTTAAAATGATCAGTAGTAAGCTAACGCTGGCACTAACTTTTATTTGTGGACTCACCAGACTTTCCACCAGTTTTACAAATTGGTTGCGAAGAGTAGGTAGAGAGCCCATTCTGAAATTTGTTAGAAAGGTATTCTTTGAGATGTTGCTTTCAACGTCTTTAATTATAATACCAATTATCCTGTTACCAGAGCACAAATCAGAGCTGCGGTGGCAGACATCGATGTTCTCAACTCATCTACTCAAGGGCTTCAGTGGTCATTAAAGCACTCAAAGAAGAAAGTGAGAACCATTTACTCATCTTCTATATAAGACGAGACTACATCAGCATTTGAATAAATACCTCAAAAGTATAACTAGAGATAGCATAAACAAATGATACTAGAAAGGAGCTCAGGTGAAAATATTTAGATCAATGGCAGGTGATTGAGATTCTCTGACTGAATACTATAAATTTAGACAGAATCTGCTGATAAGCCAGCAGTGAGATTTACGCACATGAGGAGGGGCAGAAAGGTAGTTTGAGGGGCAATTAGGGAAAAATCATAATATTTAATTAGTTTCAAAGAAGCTGCAAAACATGGAATAGTATTAGGAGCTCCATAATGGCAACAATGCAGGATGCTGAAGAAAGAGATGGAGAAAGATCCGATTTTAAACAAGAATAAGACTGTTATTCAGTGTAAATCAGAGTTGTCCCAAGAGTTTCCCTTGCAGCACGATTCATTGCTGTATGAGGGGAAGCTAGTTTTACTCGGGAAAACTGTTGTTGATACCATTAATATTTGTTTAGTTTCACGGTTGGGGGACACTCTAGGGAATATAGAACTTATCAAAGAGTAGCTGGAGAGGTGTTTTGGATTGGAACGACGAAGGACATCGGAGAGATGGTCATGAAATGTGAAACTTGTCAACATAATAAGAGTTTATCAGGTATTCCTGCTGGATTGCTACAGCTGATTGCATTGTCATTGAAAGTATGGGAGGCTATTACAGTGGACTTTATCGAAGGATTACCAAAATCATTTGGGATGACTACAATGTTGGTGGTAGTCGATTGGTTAATCAAACATGATCATTTTTGGGTTTAAACACCCATATATGGCTTAGTGTTCATATCTGAGGCATTAATAAAAAACGTAGTGAAATAACATGGTATTCCTTATTCTATTATCTTAGGTCTGAGATAAAATATTCCTAAGCCATTTTTGGAGAGAAGTGTTTAAGCTACTGGGCACTAAATTGAAGTTCAGTACCACGTACCATCCTCACAAACAGATGGATAAATGGAGGTAGTGAATTGAACTTTAGAACAATATCTGCATTAAATGGCTTCGAACAGACCTAAGCAACGGGGAAGACGGACCAGTTAGAATACAATGACATCGGTGATTTTGTTGTCGCCTCTTTATGCTTCTTAATTGGGTAATTGAAGCTTACGCATTACTAGTTGTACATCCTCCTTCAACGAACTAACTTCGGCCTACATGATACCTATACTCCTTTGCGTTTCATCCATTCACAAAAGCCACATGTCTGGGCATCATCGCTGCTCTCATACCAATTGATACACAACAAAAGAACCAGAGTGAAATTGAATTGAACTCACCTTTCTATTGAATGATTACAATGGAGTTTTCTCGCTTTCGAGAGGCTGGAAACTCTCCTGGATTTTGACACAACACTTTCACAAAACTGATTAATGCCTCTTTCTCTTATTCTCCCCTTATTTATGTTAAGTAAAGCTACTAACCGACTTACTATCCCTTTACTGCGCTAAACACTTGTACTTTACTACCACAGCCCACCCCTTTGTGCTATATGACTTCCATAACCATCCATCTATTTTGACCAAAATAAAGGTGCCAACAAGCATGATGTGACGGCTTGTTGAGAATAAGTGCCTACAATGTATGTTGAAGCAATAAAGATATGTATGATTGTACTTGAATATTGACGATGGCAAGACATGTTTTTCCTTTTACTACAGGATTTAGTGTCAAGTTCTATCCTTTTGATTGAGTTATAGATATGTTCATCAAGGAAACTAAGATCGTATCATTATTGTTGATGCAACTAAGCAACATGTTAATGCACCGATTGGGGGTATGCAGAAATGCATTGGTATGTAAAGGTTTTAGAATACGAGGCTAAATCAGAGTACTTGAAGTCATCTTTAATGGTCCTGGGAACGGTTAAGAAGTGAAATATACGATAAGCATGTCTAGGTGTAGAGGTAGGCATTGGGAAAGGGAGCGAAGGACTAGACAAGATAAAGACTGGTCTATGAGGTCATTAATCCAGACCAGACATGACCGTCGGTCCTTATTCTGACCAAAACATGTTTTGAGTCAGACCGGATGAAGACCCGTCTTTTTCGGACCGATCCGGACCTTAATTTTGTTTTCCTTTTTTAAATCCATTAATTTCTTTTTTCCCTTCTCAAACGGACCCGACCAAAAGCCCAGACCAAACGAATAAGGAGACCGGACTATTTTTAGAATGACCAGAGCAAGACCAATTTTTTTCCGGACCAGGCTAGACTACCAGTCCAAGCTTGGTGTTTACCTTGCCAGATGCATATTCATCCAGGCTTTTATCGGACTGTTTTGATGAGGCTTTGACCATACAAGGCTTTTGTTGGACTAATTAGCGTGCAACTTTATCTGGGTAGAAAGCAGTTACGAAAGGATAACCTTTGTTATGGCATCTGTATGTATTCATAGAAGGATGGAGATATATGAGGATGTTTGTCTATATGATAAGAGGCGTGGATGTAACGGTGAAAAGTTCTTTGAGATTCTTATGCCGGATCGTCTCATTGGAACTGAAAGCTGAAGGTCATACATTTATGATTTACAGGGCAGAATGCATGACATCCAGAAGACATTCACAAGATGAGGATAGCAAATAAGCAAGCAAATAAAGTTGCAATGATGACAATAGGCAAGTAAATAATTATGGCTTGGAGATTTACCAAATAAAGGAGATGCTGTAATTTTTATTGGACATCCCACAATGGAAATTGTTGCAACTTCCATGGAATAGAGGGACTAATTTCTATTGAGTTTAACCTCTTTATAATTGCTAATGGGTTTCATTTTAAGCCTACTCAACTATTTTGGGGTAAAAGGCTTCTTGTATGGAAGATGAAGACATTAAAATAGTCCAGGGAAAAGTAGAATGTACAACCTTTTCTCAATATGTCCAACAACTAAAGCATTCAGGACAAGTTTGAAGGACTCGTAGCATTCAGTAACAGCACACTTCATATATTCATCAGCACATATACGCTTCCAGAGATCAGCATCCTTGGATCGAAATTGAACTGCCATGTCAAGAGCAACTGGAACCTGAAAGAGCCATGACGGTCAGAAAATGATACATCACATAGATACATAAGAATACTTGGGAGACCAAACAACCTTGCTAGCAAGCAAAAATGGTGGCCACTGAATTAGGTTAAGGCTGGGATCTGAAGAATAAGGAACTAACATCAGGTCCATCTCCCTGCAATAGATTAATTCATAGCTAAGTTCGAGTTCTGATTTTGGATAAAACCAAGAGGTCGTAAACATAATAAGAAGTTGGTTGAGCAGCCTTTCCTGTCACTTATAAAATCTTCTTCACGGAAACTACATACAAGTTCGTTCCACAACTGAGCAAATTTTGCTGCTTCAGTTCTTTTGTTTGGTGTAACCTAATTGGACGGTAGAATAACATTCTCATGAATCATTCCTTTACGAGTTAACTGTTCTTAGACTTACACTTTAGATAAATTCCATGTACCTCTGCGAATCGTTTAGACAGAGAAAATCCCTTTCTTTTAACCCTATCAGTTGGCAACAAATACGCACTGAATGCACCGGGTATAGACTGGAAGCGGGACCTTAGCATGGTCAGTGTTCGTATCTGTGACGATAAAGAGGAATGTTAAAACTCGGAACAAGCAAGACAATTTTAAAGATCAATGTGCATTTAAACAAGAAAACAAACTTCGTTCTAAATCATAGCAACCATGATTATCACCCGACATTTCACAAACTAGAATGAATTCCATGTTGTAGAATCAACAAAGTAGTTGCATGCCATATTGTAGTTCTGACATTGTAGCAATTTATTACAATAGAACACATTGTCCCGTTGACCACTGTATCTCGACGCAACAAGGAGTGTGTACGGAACCACAGGGTTTGTGGCATAGTGGTTGAGGCCCTCGGGGATGTGGTGAAATATCCCATCTGTTGACGGTTTGATTCCACACGAACACAACAATTGTGGCCAATGAGTTTATTGGGGCTGATTTCTTGCATTCACAATTTGCCGGGATCAGTCAAGCATGTCTAGGACACCCTTCCAAAAAAAAGGAGTGTGTACGGTGAAGTAGTAAACCATGTAGTCAAGATGGTAATATAACTCAATCTTATCAGCTCCTTTTGGGCCCACAAAATGTTCAAAACTTATAAAGTTAAACCAAACAAACCCAGTAAGGTCTGGGGGTACGATGTATGCAGACTTTCCTCTACCTCAAGAGAGAGGAGAGAGAGGCTCGAAACTTACAAAATTATATTACTAAATTCTGAAACCAGAAGCATTGAATCCATAGATAAAATTTGTTAGGAAATAAAATTAGGGTTTATGATAGGTTCTCATATGTCCATGTGTACAGGTTCATAGGTCCCTCTTATGTCTCTTAACAATTACTGGCAGCTAGATTCAGGGTTAAGTAAGAGCTTCATATACCTTTCAAGGCGCACAGGATGATCTTATATACAATTATATATAGGATTTTTTCCCTCAGAAATATAGATAACTCTGATTTATTAGAGTTATTCACCAGTAATTATCAAAGAAGGAACACGATTATTCTCAGTTTTTTTCTGCTAATCAAGATTTAAAATCAGACGTTACCAAATGCTGATGCACATCTTCATAACAAAAAACACAACTGGAAATTTAAGGAGGGAGTAACTCAGTACCTCTCCCAAACGATCAAAGGCCCCAATAACACCACCGCACAAAGTTGAAAATATAGCATACCAAATTTGAGTGTCCATAAAGTAAACCTGGTAAAATTATGGAGCATATCATGCCACTGGAGAATTAAAGATATAATAGTAACAGCAGCAACAACAACTACAAAGAAGAGCAATAACAAGAAATATAGTAAATATCAAATTAAGGAAAGATAACAAGGTAAAACACACCAAAATAACGGGTAGCCAGAGTGCAGCAATCGCTCCATAGTTGTTTTCAGCTGCATATTCATTACAAGTTATGAAAACCCATATCAAAGAACAAAAAGAAGACTCGGAGGTAAACACAAACCTTGTGGGAAGAATTCGTGCCAAGCATATTGTACACGTTTGATTTTCATAATATTTCTTGTTGGCTCAACTAAAGGTTTAATCTGTGGAGCAGAAATTTTTACTGTAACAGAATCCATTTATTCGTTGATTTTCTATCTAATGGAATATAAAGTTTAGAGAGAGAATGCAAACACCTGAACAAAAAAGCTAAAAGAAAACTTCGCAATTAGAAGAACCACCCAAAAGAGAGTATACCTGATATTGACAGATATATGCAGCTGTTAATTTCAGGTAACTGTCTAGAAAAACATATACAGTAAGAAAATCAAAGACCTTACACATACTTTAAAAGAGAAAATTGACTTTCATGCATTCCTCTCCCGACATAGATTCTGGGCTGCAAAGAACCAGATAATGCACAATAAAGATTATGCATATAGCTGGAAAAGAATATCGTCCCTCCATCTCGCTTTCGATTTAATGTGTACACGAGAGAGCTATATATATTATATAAGTATATCTGTTTGTGCATGTGGAGAGAGAGACAGAGAGAGGCAAATTCAAGTCATTGTCAATTTGTCATATTTAGAACAGTTACTTTTCACTAACAGATCACAAGCAATAATTAGGAACTCAATCACAATCCAAATGAAGTTGATGCTATTGAAAGTTGCCAAAGTGGTATTATAGATATACAATATACACAACTCTGCCATTTGAGAAGATACTGGCAATATCATAGCAATACTGATAGTTGAAGACTCAAACCAACATGGACAGAAAGGCTCAAGACTTTACGGTTGATATTTCACACTTTAATTGATTGAACACAACACAAGTTTGCAGAAGCAATGACTTGCATTGTTTTATCGAACTAGCTTTTGGGCTATTTAAATTCACAAAAGGAAGGTAAAGGAATAACTACAAGAATAAATTAAAAACTACTTTCCCTGATTTACAGGGCTTTATTCGTTTTCAGCAGACTTCTGCAGCTGGGTCTTCCGATGATCCTTCTCCTAAACTAAAGACATCTTGTCTTTATGGAACCTTGCAGATGCCAAGTATGTTCCTCTGCTACTCATACAACTCAAGCTTCAAGGGCTTTGTCATAATGTCTGCTACTTGCACAAGGGTATTACAGTAAACCAATTCGATAACACCTTGATTCACCAGGTCACTAAGAAAATAGAGTGTCACATCTATATGCTTGCTCCTGTTGTGCATTACTCGGTCTTTAATAACTTGATGCCGATGGTAGACATATTGTGGCAGTATATGACCATCCCTTCTGTGATGAGCCAATGTACTTGAGCACCTTCCTTAGCCATATCACCTGGCACGCACAAGATGTTGCTGCTATGAATTCTGCCTCAATGGTGAAAGTGTTATAATTGGTTGTCTTTCGGACGACCACGCAATCATTGCACTACTTAAGAAACACACATAACCTGAAGTGCTTCGGCTGTCTTGGTCACCTATAGTCATTGTTTTGTAACTCTTTACTACCATTTCTTTTGTAAAGCAACCTTAGCTTCAGTGTGCCCTTGATGTACCTTGACACTCTTTTGATTGCTGCAATATGTTGCTTAATAGGTTTATCCATATACCTAGTCAACAGACTAGTAACAAAGTTGCTTAGTAGGTTTATCCATATACCTACTCAACCTTATATTTGTCATTAGTCTGTTGCATCGACCAAGCCACTATGATAATCCTACACAAGTTTGCACCCAGGGACTATGGTTTTTTTAAGAGTTGCAACCTTCCATATTGAATCTTTTAAATATTTCACGGGCATATTTTCTTTGACTCAAATATATCCATCTTCATCCTGAATTACTTCCACACCGAGGAAGTACCGCTCATATCAAATTCAGTTGTCATCAAGGCTTTGAACTCCTTTCATGAGTTCCAATGTTGTACCAGTCACTATAGATCAACATATATTGAAACTATTAACATGTTACCTCCTTTTGCTGGTTTCACAAACAAAATAGGTCCATGTTGACATTTCTGAAAGTGGCTTTTGACGAAGTATGTCTTAATTCAACCGTACCACACTCTCGGTGTCTGATTAAGGCTATACAAAATTTTCTTCAATCTGTAAACTTTCTTTTCACTTCCCTTCTTCTCGTATCCTTGAGGCTGCTTGACATACACCGTTTTTGTGAGCTCTCCATACAGAAATGCACTCTTTACCAAGCTGATGTACCTTCATTCCCCTCTGTTCAGCAAATGCCAATATTGCTCTGATGGTATCCCATCTTGCCAATGGTGCAACACCCTCGTGCAGTCAATACCATGTTTCTGCGTGTATCGCTTTGCAACCGACCCGACTTTGTAATTGTCAATCTCACTATTCTTGTTCATCTTGGTCTTAAAGATCCATTTAACACCAATACCATTTATTCCCTGGCACAGAATCCATAACTCCCATGTGTTGTTTTTCTCAGTGGTTTCAGTTTCTTGCATCATAGCTTGCCTCTGATGTTCTTCTTTGGCTGCATCATTGTATCTTAGAGGCGTCTGGTGTTGAATTAAACATGGAAAAATCCTCCGTTGCTTCTTCATCCGATAGCCCCTCACCACTAAGATATTCATCTATCCATCCCGGTGTTTTCCTTGTTCTTCTTGATTTTCAACTTCGGTTGGGATTCTTCTTTCCTGATTACCAACTTCTGCTGATACTTCATCTTTTTCGTTTGATGATTCCCTTGAATTACTTTGAGTGTCAACATCATCCTCTTCGCCTGCTTGCTTGACTTGCTTGACTGGTAGCATCATCGCATTCAAGCTCATCTTGACTTGCAGTCTGATCATGGTTCCAATTTCAGATAGCTTCCTCTTCCAATACATCTTTACATATGATGATTTTGTCCTCAATCGGATTGTACAACCTATAAGCCGTCAATTCTTCACTTATGCCAACCGTCACACATCTAATACTTTTATCATCAAGCTTCCTTCTTTTCTTCGCGGGAATGTGTACGTGAGTTACACACCCAAATACTCTGAAGTAGCTCACTGATTGTTTCTTGTTGCTCCAAGTTTCTTCTGGTGTGTTATTTTCGATTGCAGCAATTACACCTTTGATTCAAAATATGTACACACCAAACTCGCTAGTTTTCAGGCCAATAGATTTTGGGGATTGCTCTTCCAATCAACATACTTCGAACCAATTTAGTACAATTATGTTTTTACTGTATGGTGTATAAGCAACTGTGAGATGTCTTTGAATTCCATGACTCTCGCAAAAGTCCTTCAACTCCCTGGGATTATATCCTCCTCCTCTGTTTGTTCGGACACACTTGATCGTCTAAACAACTTCTTCCTCACCTAGCACCTTGAATCTTTTAAATATTTCCAAGGCTTGGAATTTCTTTGAAAGAAAGTGAGTCCAACATTTTCGAAAGAAATCGTCTATAAAATTAAGTATATACTTCTCCTAGCTTCTGGGTTCAGGCGAAATCGGTCCGCAAATGCAGAGTGAATTAGCTGCAATCTTTGTGAAGCTCTCCAAGAACTCTTCTTAGGGAAGGATTCTCGAGTTTTTTTTTCCAACCATTAAAAAATAGCTTATCTTTTTCTTGTTTAATAGTTGGTAGTCCTATCCCCAAATTCTTAGCATGTAATGTCTTCAAACTCCTGTTGTTGAGATGCCATGATGCCAGAGATGTGTATCATCTCCGGTTTCTGCGTCGTGACATAAGTTGCTACTGTTCTATATGCTTTATAACTCAAGTTCACTACGACTGCGTACATCCGGTTTAAAGTTATAGAGTTCAGAATAATCAGGCCCTACTTTGGATGATAAACACTGCAACCCCCTTCTGCATGTGTAGCGCCACTGCTTCCTTTACATAGATTATCTTCTTCTTGTTTAATAGTTGGTAGTCTATCCCCAACCTCTTATAATGTACCTTCTTCAAGCTCTTGTTGTTGAGATATCCTGATGCTAGAGACGTGTATCATCTTTGGTTTCTGCCTTATCACATACGTTGCTACTGCTTCTATCTGCTTTGTAGCTTTCGTTACGACTGCATACATCCGGTTTGAAGTTATAGAGGTTTGGATAATACGATCCTTCTTTGGATGATAAACACTGCAGTTCCCTTCTGCATGAGTATTATCGCTCCTTTCTATTTGATTTGCCCTATACTAATCAAATTATTCTTTAGCTCTGGTACAAAGTAGACATCTGTCGGTCAAAACATGTGTCATTCCTTCAACTTGAAGCTTTACATTACCTTTCCCATCACTGCCATTCAGACCTTATTCCCGAGCTTAACTTTGTTTTCGATATCTTCATTCATAGTGCAGAACCACTCATGTGATTCGAGCAATCCGAGTCTAAAAACCAGACTTGCTTTTTTGCAACATTCTTTTCTTCAACACAAGCCATCAACACCATCTCTTCTGTGTCATCAAGCTCAGCATAATTATTGGCATCCTTCTCCCAATTTGGACGCTCACTTTGAAAGTGTCCTAGTTTGTAGCACTTGTAGCATTCAACTGTGCTTTTATTGATTGGGAATCTTCTAAATCCTCTACCCCTACCCCTTTAACCTCCTCTTCCTCTTCCTTTGTAGCTTGACTTAGTGGAAACCTTCAAGACCTGCTCCTCTTCTTGTTGTCCCAACATTTGCTGCGCATGAATCAGAAGGTTGTCGTGTAACTCATTTATGGTCATAGGTATCAAGGTTAATTGATTTCTCAATAGAGCATACACAGTTGAATTTTAGGCTTAACGATCTTCGCAATAGTACCGAATGCCAAAGAGTCGCCATTCGCTCTCATTTTGTTGAGAATATTTAGAGTTGCGGCCTAATAAGTGTCAATTTTCTCACTTTCCTTTATGGACAACAGTTCGTACTCCCTCCTTAGGGCTTGTAGTCGAACTCTCTTCACCTTGGTGGATCCTTCATATTTCTACCCCATTGAATTCCATATGCTTTTCAATATGCTCTTGTCCAAAATTGTTTCCAAGATCTCCATGTCAATTGCTTGGAACAAGTAGTTTTTCACCTTCATATCTGAGTTTGGCCTCATCTACAACTTTCAGCTGAGCCTCGTTTACAATCGCTGTTCCTTCTCCCCGTTGTAGGGATTTCCTTTTCCACCATGCTCCACATCTCATTGCTTCTCAAAAAGTTCTCCATCAACAGCGACCAATGATCAAAGCGATAATTGGTTGTATGAATTTATTAGAGCTTTGCCATCTCTTACTCTCTCACCCTTTTCTTAACGATAATCAGGCTCCCATTAGGAAGGCTCTAACTCCGAATGATATTTCACACTCTAATTGATTGAATACAATACAAATTTGCAGAAGCACTGAATTGCATTGCTTTATTCAACTATCTTTGTGCTATTTAAATACACGAAAGGACCATAAAG